GAAATAAATTGGTCACAGAGCGAAGAGGGCAAAAAAGGCGGAACAATGGCGTGAGGATGGATAAAATCAATGAATGCAGTGAATTCAGTCCTAAATTTAAAATATTTTGTTACATGATGATTTATCACTTACGTTTTTTTATTCTTCCAGTTGAAGAAGAAAAAAAGGCAGGCGTTGACATATATATTATTTGCAGTAATATTAATTGTAAACGACATTGGATGCATCAGTTTAAAAGTAATTAGTAATGAATAAAATACATTATTTTATTGATTGTTAAACGACAATAATTTGAGGGAGGATGGAACAAGTATGACAAAATACATCGTGAATTTTTTTTTTTGAAGAAACAGACAACCTAAAAATTATATTTGATATGTCTGTGTGGCCGCACTGTATAAATAAAATTTCATGACAGTAGAGTATTCGGTGTTTTTTATTTCTTTCTTGCATTATCAAAACATATCAAGTAAAGAAATCAACATTGGATTTGCCCAAGGAAATCAAATGCAGACACAATTGAGATGCCTTCTTCCTTATAAGATATAATTAAAACATTATCTGTATTGGAAAATCTTTGTTTTTTATCCTATGTTTCAAAACATCTAAGTAGTTTCCTAAAAAGCAAGCGTTTACTTTTGTCAATCGTGGAAAATTTTCCCAAATTTTTTTAAAAACTTAATAAGTAAAACAAAGACAATATCCAAACTAATTCCAAAATTCCCGATAAATTTTTTTCATCAAAAAGAAGTGAAAAAGAAAAAACAATCCCATCCCAGCTTTTTTTTTGTTTTTTTTTAATTACAACTGCATGTTTTAAAATAACATAAAAAATTAAGAAAAATTGACCTTTTTTTTATACCATTTTTATGGAAAAACAGAAAAAGTTTTCCCTTTTTCTTTAGCCCTTTCCCCAAAGGTTTGGCAAATTTACCCCTTTAACCAAAATATTGTTTTTGCCATTTCAAATTGGGGAGACATTTCCCCCAGATGAAATTTAAATTATCTATAGGTTTTTGGGATTATTTCTTACAAATATAACAGTTCCCAAAAAATTTTTTTAAAAATTTATATGTAAAGTTTTTTAAAATAATCCTTTTTAAAAGAGTATTTTTCGGGGAAGGAAAATTTTCCATTTGGGTTTTTTCTATTTAAAAATTAATCTAAGTCGGGGGACAAACAACTGAAAATACGTTTTTTGGGTTTAAGTGTGGTTTTTTTTTAATTTTTTTCTTTTATTTTAAAAATGTTAAGTTTAAATTTACCTACAATCATTTTTTAAAAATTTCTAAAAAATATATAATCTTTCCCAAAAAAAAATTTCATCTTAAAAATTCCTTTTTTGGGAAAAGTCAGATATAACCCCCGATGTCCCGGAAACCATAAATATTTTTTAAAATGTAAATGAAAAAAAAAAGTTCAAAAAAATTTGCAAAACACCCCGAATAAAAAAGAAATAGTGATAAATAAATCCTTTTTTAACCCTTAAATATTATTGTCAAAAGTTTTAACGTCAATTAAAGAACAAAAATCTGACAGTTTTGTTTTGTAATGAAATGTGATTTTGATACGATTTTTCAAAAAAATATCTTCACCAGACAATAAAAAAAACAAGTAGAAATGAGCTGAAACTTTTTCAGGAAGACAAATGAAATCCGCATGATAAATGGTGACTTTTGGGCCATTTTACGTGCACATTTTGACTTTGTTTTTTTTTATATTTCAACTAAATGACAGACTTAAGAAACATGCAAACTAGGGTGTTTACTTCCAGTCGATCTTTTTTAAATCAAATTGATGTTTCTGGTGTGTTTTACGCCCACAATTTTAAATTCACGTTTCTACATTTTCCCGAAACTTAAACACATGCAAAAGCATATTGAATGTTTATTTTTTTAGAATGTTTGAGTTATGACATCATTTAAGTTTATATGACGTTCTGTCAAAATGTTTTCAATCTCTACTTTTTCAAAAACGTTTGAACACGCGCAAGCACGAACAGAGACTATATGTCAACGATTTAATCACGAAGTGTTATTTTTCAAATTATTATTTTTTTTTTGCTTTCTTTTTCGTCCGATCTGAATACATGTATTTAAGTTTGAACATGGGCACGTACGAAACACAAACTTAAGCACGAATGTATAATGATTAGATATAATTACCACGAAGTGTGACCTTTCAAATTATTTTTTTCTCTTGTTTTTTTTCTTTTTCTCCAAGTTTCCAACATTTAAGAAATTATTATTAAGTACTTCATGATTTAGGAATATGTGTGTTTTATAAAGTATTACAACAATAGCACTAAATCACCTCTTAAATATTTTTGAGTAAATTCAGTTATTGCATTTTTGCTTTATAACAAAATTATATGATCTACTTTTTACGGAAATCTTCATATTATTTTTTATTTAAACAAATATAAAATTAAAATATTAATGTTTTTCAGTACAAAACGTACTTTCCATCTTATTTCACAGACAAACAGTGTTAGGATTCCAACCTCCTAGACGTTTCACTCTAATTTAGATAATATTAATAAACACTGCTATGTCATCTATTTTACAAGACTTGTCCATTACAAAAAAAGGAAATTTAATTCCCAAAAGAATACGATATTTCGTGGTTAATTATTTCTGCAAGAATGGTTTTATTAAGATTAGATATTGCTTTATCATGTTTTTTTTAAAGAAATAGGACATTCCCTTGTCATATATCAGTCTAATGTAACATTTTCTTCGAGAATTAGAAATTATAAATCAAACTTCTAACGTTTCTCCTCTTTCTTGATAGCGCTATATTTGAAAAAAAAAACATTTTCTTATTAATTTAATATTTTCCTAAAATTTATCAAGAACCTTATTCCATTCTTCAACTTGTACTCAATATAAAAGCTTGCAGAATTTACTAAAAGCATTCTTCTGTTCTAATTTCTGAAGCAATTTTTTCATCAAGTGGCACTTTATAACACTACAAAAGGACAAGTAAGGTCGGCGTTCATGAAAATCTGTCAGTTACACAGGACAATCAGAAAAACATTCAGTAGGAAAACGGACAGAAACGGTGCATTATTTGAAAGAGGGCAAAAGAGGCACATTGTTGGACAAAAATGGGGTACAGAACGTAGAGGGCGGATCAGGGGTTAGAAAATCGACGAATATATCAATGATTGCAATTTATGCAGTTTAAGTTGATAAAATGATTCTACGTTACAGGTTGATTTATCATTTTATCGACGGGTAAAAATCTTCCTATCGGCGCCCTATATTTCTCGTGTCGTCGTGTCTCAAAATGCAATAGGCAAAGACACGCTAAGTGAGCATATTATATTATTACCCCTCACTTTTTTCGTAATGCTAATTTCCCATAGGCCTCTGGGAGTTATTTTTACTGTTAATGCAAGTGTACCACGTGACTAAGAATTTTGTACTGTTACATAGGTAACAGTATTTTTAAGAGGTCACGTGGTCTATTCCCTTAATAAAATGAAATAAATGGCTGCCATTTTTTTTCTCTATTCATTATCATTTTCAACGTTAAACCCCGACAGGACATCAATTTCTCCTTTGGAGTCACTATGACACTTATATAATTAAGTTGTTTGCACCCTGGTGTGCTTTTCGCGTATAAAATATCTTTTTGTTGAATAGTCAAAAGGTGAACATCCGTTTTCAACGGAAGTCATTGCAATGTAAATAATTATGTGTCAAACTGGAGCATGCAGACGATTTAAGCATGCAACAAAGTAATCAGTGAAACGTTACAGATATGGTGGACATAGGATATCATCGTTATTTTGTCAAAAACCATGCTAAGAATATTCTGGAAACAGAAGGATCAGATTTCACAGATCATAACCGTGTAAATGGGTTAGTGTTTTGTTTCCTAAATAAAACCTAGCTTGTTGTATGTTTATGATTTGTAGATATTATCACTTGCTTAAAGAATAAAAGAAAAAGAAAACGTGTCAAGTAGGCCTACAGTAAAGCAGACTTTAAACTTAAAAGGTAAGGACAGTTTAGTTATTGTTACTTATTTGTTTATTTTTGTTACAGTCAGATTTAATCATCTCAGTATTTTTGTTCCGGGTAATAAAATAAATAACACATGGGTTTGTGAGTAACAGTAAAAATATCATCCCTCGTAACAGCCCATCCTAGGGATGATATTTTTACTGTTACCCACAAACCCATGTGTTATTTATATACTGTCATCGTGTCTTCCCTTTCGACTTTTGAGATACCACACAATAAACCTTTCATGGGTACATGACATGAGCAACCTGGCTTTATTTTATCGATACTTGAGATGATCAACAGAAAACTGTTATTTCCTCAGCAATCTGTTTGAAGAAGCCATTGAACAAATTTGATTTTTGCAGCTAGTTATCTACTACGAAAAAGAGGATCGCAATCATCGTGGTTTCCTATGCAGCAAGAACTGTAAGATAACAAGAAAACTTCACTAAAATCTTCATTCCATTTATGCTATTTTTGGAATTTGCATGAACCTCCAAAGCCATATATGTACATTATGTTTCCGTGGGTTTGAGTATATGGGCGATACTGTTAAGTAGTAATACACTTTTAGATCAATTTGTCTGGTGGCGGCAAGCAATGTGAACAATACTCGTGCCTGCCCACAGATCATAATATGAATTATTAAGAGGTTAGTACACGGCAGGAGAGGGCCGGAAGGTGATAATCGGCCCGCGAAATGAATAATGGACCCGAGGGCTTTTCACCTTCCGGCCCTACTCTGACGTGTATTATATATGTTAATAAATAACCGATTTGATATTGGCCCTGTTGTTTGTCCGAGGGCAGTCGTTTTGGCCCAAGGCCGAAGGCCGAGTGCCAATACGACTGACCCGGGGACAAATAACAGGGCCAATATCAAATCACTTATTTATTGACAATTTTATTAAATAACAACATAAACTTATAATATTTTACATTTAATCTTCGGATATTTCTCCTTATTTCAATTCTAACATATTTTAATTATAACAAAGAACAACTGTAAAAATCGAATTCTAACATATTTAACTTATAACAAAGACAACTGGAAAAATAACTACATTTTATCAGTTTGACCTTAATTATTACATATACAACAAAATGTGATTGTCAGACTGTCTACTGTGATTCCTGCGAGCTCCCAACATCAGAAAACTTTCTCTTCCCCGACACAAAGTTAATGTTAAAAGTACCTCCAGAAATGTAAGCACCACATAACACTGCAAACGGATTTGAGTGTTGTTTTGAGACATTTGAAGAAACACTTCGACTAGCATCAAGTGTATTACAAGTATAATTTGTGTTCATTATTGGTTTTATATCTGCCAATACAGAGGTGTTCTTATGTTCAATTGTTTGAACATGGCATTGTGTAACAAAATCGTTTCTTGAAGATGGTCGCATATGGTCTGATAGGATGTCAGAAGCTTGAGCCTGCTGTTCTAAAGTAGGGGTGGAAAAAACATTTAATGTTTGCAGGTTTTTCCAACCTCCTAGATGAGCTATTTCCGTAGGTGGCCGACCTGCTTGAACAAGTATTTGGGCAAATGTTTTTCTTGTGGAGTGATTTACTTTTCGGCCTTCTAGTTGGCCTTTCTCAGCTAATTCTTTCATTATTTTTCCAAGTTCATTTTTTCCGACAGGCTGATGTGAATACCAAACATCTGTTTTGGGTGAATTTATTGGCTGAAGGTAAAACCTGCTTTTATTGTCTAGCAGATCGGCTGGTCTTCGACGTCTATATTCTTTGTAGATGGCAACTGGACAAAACTCATCACCGGGTGTTGCAAACACCCTGGGAGCAACTTCTCTGTTCGAGTTTCGGCTAGATCCATTCCTTGTTTTCGTACTTCTCTCTGAAAATATTCAAAAGGAACTAATATTCAGTCATGCCTTAACAACAAAGTTTGCACTCTTGTGAAAGTGTGTCATAACTTTGAATTTTGATAAGCTTTTTGTATACTGAAAAATAGAATATAGTCAAACCTGAATTAAGCAGACAGGCAAGGGAGACACAAAAGTTAGCTGCTTAGCACAGGTGGCTGCTAAATACAGGTGAAAACCAAAACAACAATTACTTTGGAAACATTTTTGTCACTGTTGTAAACAGGTGGCTGCTTAATAAAGCTGACTGCTAAGGCAGGTTTTACTGTAAGCTAATAATTACAAGCATTTCATACAATTCAACAAACCTGTAAATTCCAAGTACTCTCGAGAGTCTGGTGCTCTTTCAGCTCAATGTCCCCCAAAAGAAGGTTTGTATGGTCCTGTCTACCACGCATTCCGAAGTAAACGCGATTGTTCAACCACACTGTCTGAAGAAGGGTCTGTACATCACCTGTAATGAATATTAATATTTCTTATATACCTAAAATACACCTTTTTTATAACATTGAATATCAACAGAAGTATTCCATAACCAATATTCTTCTCCTCGGCTTTTATTTTACATGTTGCCATTGTACTAGAAAATTACAAAAAGTATTTATGACAGACTGATTTAATGGGTCAAAATTACAACAGATTTGTACTGAGACCTTACGCTGTCTACAGTCATGGTTAAAACAATCTTAACTTTAAAAAAATGACATTTTAAATTGAATGCCAAGAAATAATAATTACATACATGTACTTCAATTTTGTATCGTTTCAAATTATTACTTATGTACATGTATCATTTTCCAAAATATGAATTAATTTATTTAAATCTGATATAGTATATAATGAAATTAACTTTGCCAAGTAGTTATTTGTCTCGTAACTGCTGGAATTCGTCAGTAGACAGTGGCTCGGCTTTAGACTTTAAATTCCCTTTGCCCTGTGCCTCTAGATGTTTCCGCTTGGATATCAAAACTTGGTGAGAATGACTGAAACGTTCATCTTTTCTAATGCTGAAGTTGACTTTTTTCTCCTTAAGGTGTCGATCAATTGAATATTGTATGCTAGTTAGAGTGCCCGGTTCATATTCTGTGCCGTCTCGCTACCTGACAGCTGAAAATAAATGTAAATTCACATGTGTAGATAGATCTACATATTCATAGTAAACAGGCCAATCATGTGGATTTTTAGAGCATTAACTGGCAAATATTATTTTTCCAAAAATCAAACATCTGCCGCAAAATGTTAAAAATAAAAATCATACATAAATTCTATTTCTATGGAGAAACTGACATTTTCTTTTGTTGTTTGCACATATAAATTATTCATGTTCGGCACGAAACTGGAAAGCGCTAGGCAAGCCTCCCCCTTACGGTTTCTTAGCCTCGCCTGATAAATATCATCTTTATTCCACACTACTGGTCGGAGACCATCAACCGGACACTTTTGGAACATTTTTCCGTACAAATTTCATAATTTTTTACCTTGAGACCAAAAAATTTTACATAGTTCAGCTAGGTTCTTCTCCTAACTAACAAACTAGTTTGTTTATTTCTGATTTTATTGACATTTATATCTGAGGCTCGACAAGGAGGGTATCAAAATTACCTAAATTGTCTACACTACAGTACCATGTGTCCGGACAGATATGTACATGATGTGATTTAATTCAGATAAAAGCTTGGGTGTTTTGATTTTTGATTTGTAACATGATATACAATATGTCGGCAACAAATGCTGAAGTTTTGGATATTCTATTATTCACTCTGCAAATTATTATAGCTGGTATATGAGGTCAGGCATTGCTTTCTTGACCCCCGAATTTCAACGTCAACATTCTTGAAATAGACATTAAAATATTACCATTTAAGGAGGTTGAAATAAATTTATTCACTTAATTTTAAAAGAAACATGCACTTATTGTTGATAAAAAAGTGACTGACAACCACTGAACAAAGAAAATACTAAATTAAGCATTTTCGGGGCCGTCCGGGTTTGGTGGTTGTCCGGTTTTGGTGGTCCCCAACCAGTAGCTTATCTCTATATAATCGCTGAAATAAATGTTATTTATTTATTTAGATTTTAGTTCTACTTACCAAGAAAAAATCTTGCTAAAAGCACACCAAGCTCTTCAAGTGGAATTTTCTCAAGATCTCTATGTTCACCGACGCTTTTCATCCAGTCAAACATTAGTTTAACATCACTTTTGGTCTTATAGTGTGTGTTTTTATTTCCATTTTCTTTAATGAAACTGCCACAGTCTCCTTATGAAACTTTCTTTAAGCGTCCCCCATGTCCGGCAGAATCCGGTTCTGAATCTGTTAATGAGTGGGGCTTATCCACCGACTCTTCTTCAAGCTTGCACAGTACATCTGGATCTAGCTGTTCGTCTTCACATAATTTATCTATATACTATAGTTAGTCATTAGCTAGAAGTTCTAGCATTTCTTCGCTGCGCGACGATTCTCTCGACACTTTTTCTGTTGTCTCCCAGACGCAGACGACTTTGCAATCTAAGTCGGTAGATGTTTGTTTGTGTTTCGTGAAATCTACACGTTGTAAATTTATAACACATTCGGTAAAACACTACTAAATCATGACGTGAATGTTTTGAAACGGAGAATAATTTGTTTCATTTATGCAACCTGTCGGCATCTATACAGAGACCGAGTTAAAGCAAAATGGCTGCCATTTCCCAGCTTTACTTGCAGAAATCTATATCATTTTTTGGCCCTGCTTTATTTGCCAATCAAATTACTTCAAATGCGGGCTTTATATCTATATCACTTTTCGGCCCGGGGCCGAAAAAGTGATATAGATATTGGCCGTGTTATAAGGCAGGCCATCATGTTATTGAAAGTGGCAGGTGCTTTTTATAGGACTAATAACATAGTTATTTAATAAATGTCTTTAATACACTTCGTAGATCTAATAGTAGCACTTTAAAAAAAAAAGAAAAAAATAGAAATCTACTTTGAAGTTCTTTTGTTGAAATTCTTGTCTACTCTTCTACTGTTCTGTACAGAAATGTTTACTGTTTGTGTGTGTTCAAAGAAGCAAATTTCATTTTCATTTTTTTTTCGGAATGAATTGTCGTATAATTTCTTCAAATTTCAACAGTAACAAAAATGTGTCTGTATTTAATACGCTTTTAAAAGCTAGCGATTAGTGTTGACAACGTACTTTCACCTTTACAGTTAACTGTTTGGTGACGTAAAATATGACGTCATTGTTTCAGTTTGTGCACGTGCACATGTTCTGCGGGCTGATAACTAGTTCTCGGCCCCGGACCGCAAACACATAATAGGTCACGTGACACTCATATGAGTGTCACGTGACCTATTATGTGTTTGCGGTCCGGGGCCGAGAACTAGTTATCAGCCCGCAGAACATGTGCACGTGCACAAACTGAAACAAAATCAGTTGCAAAATCATAGGCAATTTCGTAACTATATAGAGTAACAAGCGTATTAAACACGTTTTGTATTCAATAACTTTTTTTTTCACTTTTTTCCAAAAAAGTAATAAATATTGATGGCTGAATTGAAAGTTGGACAAGTACATTTAATATATTAAGGGCTATGATCTTTCTTTTTAACTCGTAATATGTCTACGTCTTAAAAACAACGCCATTTGAGGTCTAGTATTTTTATGTATTGTATGACCAATCGCAAGTGTGGTATTCTCCATATATGTTACAAATTCTACATGTTGATAAATTTAAGGTATTCAAATCAGTTTCAAGTTAATTGGATAATGACCAAATACGTATTTTAGTTCCCGATTTCTAGACTAAAGATCTTTATAATTCTTGCAAACAGTGCCTCTTCTCCTAAATACATCACTGAGAATATCTGTCATGTATACGACGCACTCTTTCATTTGGATGACTGACTTTAAATGTTTCTCTTAAAAGTGCTATTTGCAACTAACATGCAAATGACACAATATCCGTAACAGCAAGGTTCGGTGTTAGCCAGAATGTAAAAGTTCTAATTCCTTAATAAGGATAATAACGGTTCATAAGTAATATTATGCTTAATTTAAACACATATCATTAGACAATATAAAATTCTGTAAACTAAACTGGTCCATACCCTAGGTCTGGAAGTGTCTCAATAATAAACAGAATACAGGATGGTGGGCTTAAGAAACGATACGTTGAGCTACATACCGCCAATTTCTTAAAAAAAGACTGACATGATCAGTACCTGTAAGCATTCATAAAAACTAACATAATTCGAACGATGCGTGGGACTATAAGCTTATAATATAAAATATCAAAAGAAGCTTACCTCGACCAATGCTCTTCGATTTTTCCAGGATTTTCCATCAACTCGACATAGGAAACGAACGATGTCGAAAGACTGCCACTGATTTGGACAATATTTCATACACACGATACGTCACAGCTAAATAAAGTATATATTTTAGGGAATGGCTTTATGCTCATGAATAAATCAAAGAACTACATTTTGATTAATTCATGAGCTTCTAAACGGGGTTTGCACATAGTTGTACCAGGAAGTCTCACATCCCCGTCCGACAACTATCTGCGCATGCGCAGTTAGTAAAGTCTTCCGTTCCTAACGGGTCTGACAAAATTCACGCCACACCGGTAAGAATACGACCTGTCTCTGAGACTAAAGATACGAACATGACTTGTAAACCTAATTATCTCCCAGAATAAGATCATAATTTGTCTCTGAGAATAAGAACACGCTCTTAGAATAAAAACATTATTTGTCCTGAGAGTGAAAGAACACCCTGGATATTAAAATGATTGGTCTATGAAAATAAGATCAAATCCTGAGAATATATCATAATTTGGCTCTGGGAATAAAAACACGCTCGGAGAATAAAACATGATTTGTCTATGAGAATAAGATCATGTTGTGAGAACAAAACATGATTTGTCTGAGAATAAGAACATGCTCTGACAGTAAGGACATAAATCATCTCTGAGATGAAATATAAGAATGATTAAAATGATATAAAATGTTTTCTATTAAAAAAACAAACTCATAATTACTTTTAGGAATCAGAACATGCTCTAAAACAAGAACATCATATTTCTCCGACAATATGAGCATAATTAAAAGGTCGGGACCTTTAACCAGGCCCAGGCTTTGGCTTGTACGGCTATAGACTACACGTGTATATTAAAAAGAAAATCAAATAAAAACAACTAAAGAATATATAGAATTCGTTACCTATTAATGAAATTTTCAGTGTCAGTCTTAGTCGGGCGCCGCCATTTTCAATGTAACTCAATGATAAAAGGTGGGGTATTCCGAAAACAAACAAGCGCGACTTTCAGATTAGCAATAATCGTTGAGTGTTCCGAGTGAAAAACGGATCCGGAAGCGGTGCATGAAATATCGAATGCCACCTTTAAAACGCAAAAAATGAACGTTTTTTTTTACCGATTTCCCCGTTC